AAAGCAAAGATTTTATCTCATGGTCTGGACTGCTGAAAACAATATTAAATAGTATTAGGTGAAGACCGTTTCTGATTCTGCTGGGAAAGCTCCCCAGATTGAACAAAACCTCCGCACTAAAAGACTACATTTTGAAGTTTGTCAGAGAGATACCTCTTAATCCTCGTAATGGGTGACCTGTTAATTCCATGTGATGCAAGACTTGAAATCAAAATGTCACGTGGCATTGAGTTAACCACCTTGCAGAAATTCAAGTATGTCCTATCAATGCAGATGTGTTTCTCAAGCAGACCTGTAATCTTTTATAGAAATCTTCTAAACAACCAAAAATTCCACAAGTGTGTCTGACAAGACCTAACTTCCACTACCTGTTTTGACTAGCATTCAGTATATTTATTCTCCAGTTCTTTTTCTAATATTTAAGTGTCCCAGAAACGCATGCTATTTTGTGAGCAGCCCAAACCACCAATTTCAAGTAATGGATGACACATAGCAGAAAAATATACTTCCCTACTTATATTTTTCTCTAAATCAGAGCTAGGTGGAGTATGAGCTGAACTAGTTGAGCTTATTTACAACCGCTGTTTCTCTTTCAGAGCTAATGAATTATTGACAGTCTAAGGATTTTCTGTTATTTAAAGCAGAAGCTCTCTTCTATAACACAGTGCAACTCCGCGCTATGTCGAAAAGGGACTATGTGCAAAACTAGCAAGATCTTTCAAAATGACAGGACCTGCCAAATACAAGAAGACAGAAGCTACTGGTGTTTCTTGAACAGATGGTTTAAGGCCCAGTCCTCAAACCCTTGTGAGAGTGGCAGCGCTCAGAAACCAAGATGGTTTTGAGAACTGTGCACACCGCTGGCGCCGGGCTTAAGGGAGATTAAGGGACACGGGGTGGTTGCACCAGCCCCCGGCAAAGATGGCTTTTCTCCAGTGTTGGTCTTCTTGGGGCAAAACCTCAGCACCTCTACATGCAGTGACAGTGCCCGTGGGCTGGAAGGAGCACGGAGACTGTGGCATCCATCAGCCTAGAGGAAGGAGCAGTATCCAGTTTAGGAACACAGCTACAGCCTGAACACTGTAGTTTGCGTTGCTTTTAGTATTCCTGGGTTGCAACATTTTGTGCTTTTTGCTGCTTTTGTGGCTCAGCACAGACCACTGCCCCGAGCCCTGTGTGCACCCTCCTTTTGAGCATGGAGTGACCCCAACGTGAACGTGTTGCTGGCACATCTTTGCACAGCCCTCTACAAAAAAAAAAAATCACGCTCTGGCCCACGAACAGGAGAAATCTTCCCTCTGAACTCCTAAGCACGTACCAGTAGAGGTAAGACCACTGCGAGATTTAGTTCTTCAATGTACCTATGTCTAGCATATGAATTTCATACCATTGCTGGCTATGAAAAGCACTGATCCTCTACTAAAAGGAATATTAGTCAATGGATACGAGAAGGTCACTCGATTTATCTCAGCACTGGAAGAAGTGGTATTGTTAGCTGATTTTTGTACAAAGCTATTAATACCTGGGAAGCTTAAAGGAATAGATGGTACCGCATTATTCTTTAATTTAGCCACTGAAATAGTTTGTTAATGTTTATAAATCTTTAGGGATCCGATCCTGTAAAGTCTTATTTATATGAATAATGCTTACGTACAAACAGTCTCACTAAATTATGTAGGGTTCTCCGCATTAGAAAAAAAATAATGTGTGTAAAGATTAGTAATACTGGGGCCTTAAATATTTATAAACACTTATCAAAATGATTTTATGAAGTAAATTTAAGGACCATCTGGTATCACCTGTTATTTTATGCTCCCTAATTTTCATATCTATGTGCAGAAGTCAGCAAGTATTAGATGTTCCTTTCTTATCAGCCAAATGACCTTCTCCTTATCCTTTAAACTTATGCTCCCTCCTAACAGAGGACTAATCCTTTCACTTCTACTTATCATGTAAAATGGACATACAATGCAAATAAACTAATGAGCAAATCTGCTAGTGGGTTTGTTCACGTTGTTCACGGAGCTAAGACGTTTCTTCCACCTATAATAATATATTTTTTCTACTGCACACACAGCCAATGGGAGGCGGGGGAGAAGGGGCATGACATCAGCTGTATTTCAGTTCTTAAAAATCTGTGACATTATTAAGAGCAAGTAGCTGTGCATCCTTTCACAGTAATTTTCCCCAGAAAAATAAAAAAGAAAAACAACAACTTTCTTCTCCTTTTCAAAAATATACTAAACGCCCATTCATTTCAACTGAAGTTATAGGTGCGTAGGTGCTGTCAGGAGTAAATCTTTGAATACAAACCTGCAAACCAGCTACTCATGTGCAGTTGGTCAAAAAACTTTTTATAAGCTGCAATTTCAACAATAAAAGTAAGTATTTCTGTCTTTCGTGAGGTTTTTTTTTCATTAACACAAGCCATCACACTTAAATCAACAGGGTGAATAACATCATAGCTAATGTGGTAAATTAAGTTATGCAAGCTAAGATCAGTATTCCCTTATATTGTTATGATATTTAACTATGCAAATGGTTCATTCCACACAAAGTACAACTAGAGATTCAATTTTAAAGGGAAATTATCACATGGAAGACATCCACTTTTATCTAATCAAATAATATTTTTTTCTTTTATTAACGGTCGAGCCAAACTAAAATCAGATCTGCTAATCTTCTTTTTCATTAAAAAAATAGTTAACAGCAGCAAGTCACCCCAAGGAGGTCTGCAGTGCTTGTCACATGAATATTCGTACTGTGGATATCAACAACCGAGTGCATCTGTCCCGGGCGCTATACCCTGCTGTCAGATGCCTACATACTGAACAGTGAAAATAGAAACACAGGCTGAATTTGAAGAAATGGCTCCTGCACATTAGATTTTGGGTTCTCAGCAATGGTTAATATTTTTCTGCTGCCTTAAAATGAATCTGAGCTGGTTTCAGTTAAAGGAATAGAACTCAGAGCCTGAAAATCATTTCCCATTGCAAATACTACAGGGCTGGCAGTCCAGTCATGGCTTCTTCTGGTCGCTGACTCTGTGACACGATCCAGCACGCTGTAGACAGGAATGTGTGCTTATGTGCTAAGTTTTTATTTTTTAACTGGTTATGCCTTCAAAGCTGGGTTGAGTCACTCAGTGTGAGGAATGCGTAAGGAACTGACGGAAGTGATTTTTATCAAGCTTCTTCATATTTGCTTTTTCCTCTTATAAGAACGTAAAATGATAGGCACACATACAAGTGCTCATGAGCCAATTTGCAAATATTCCTAGGAGCAAAAAAGCAGGTTTTGCTATAATACAAAGGCCTGGTCCTACATCATCTTGCTGATACTCAGACAGATTACTAAGGGAGGTAAGTATTTACTTGGGTAGAGACTCCCAGGACTGAGGTTTCATGATGGAGAATGGCATTTAGCAGTGTATTAGTTGTATGTTTTTCCTTCTTCCCCTCACTAAAAAACCCCACTTATCCGTGGCCATAGCAGTGGTCCTTCTGACCCAGCAGTTTCTTTTTAACAATAGCCTAGATGGAGATAAGGAAGTTCTGTATAGTTAGACGCAAAAAAAAACAAAAACAAAAACAAAAAACAAACAAACAAACAAAAAACCAGAGAAATCCAAGCCTATTCATTTTTTTTTTTTGTTCCATGTAGCATCATAATTGGCTTTCACCTTAAAGCAAACTGGCTACCAAGCAAAGATGAATCTCTCTAAGCCCTGTCTACCTGGCTGCTCTCAGCTGGAGACAGGCAAAAGAATCCTCTACTGCAGGAGGTAAATGGAAACTTTACTTTGCAGAGCCAGAGTAGAAAAGTGCACAACAGAGATGTTTGAGAGAGGCAACCAACTGGTGATGTTCCTTCAAGCTTGTATTTTGACACTCCGTGCAACTGCTGCAACACAGCACATTTCAGAGAGAGCTCCTCTCCGAGAAGAAAGTCACCCCGGCAAGAATCATGGTAAACCCAAAGCTGGATCTGATTCACTGGTTCTACGCGGGACCAGCTCAGAGGGCTGGATGCAGAGTCAAGTTCACCCCACTGTAGCAAAAACTGTGCGGTGGGAAGTTTGCCAAACCAAGTGTTGCGCGCGCGGGCGGTAACAGCTTTTCATTCCGCCTGGCAAAACGATTAACCTTATTCCTGTTTTAGCCGGGGAACCTGGAGGGCACTGCGGCGAGCAGAAGTAACCCCCGAAGGGGCATCCCCCCGAAGGGGCACCCCCCTGAAGGGGTACCCTCCGAAGGGGCACCTTCCCAAAGGAGCATCCCCCCGAAGGGGCACCCCCCTGAAGGGGCACCCTCCGAAGGAGCATCCCCCCGAAGGGGCAACCCCCCGAAGGGGCATCCCCACGAAGGGGCATCCCCCCGAAATGGGAACCCCCCCGAAGGGGCACCCTCCGAAGGGGCACCCTCCGAAGGGGCACCCCCCCGAAGGGGCACTCCCCGAAGGAGCATCCCCACGAAGGGGCACCCCCCCGAAGGAGCATCCCCCCGAAATGGGAACCCCCCCGAAGGGGCACCCTCCGAAGGGGCACCCCCCCGAAGGGGCAGCCCCCCGAAGGGGCACCCCCCTGAAGGAGCATCCCCCCGAAGGGGCACCCTCCGAAGGGGCACCTTCCCGAAGGGGCACCCCCCAGAAGGGGCACGCCCCAGAAGGGGCTCCCCCCGAAGGGGCTCCCCCCGAAGGGGCACCCCCCCGAAGGGGCACCCCTTGCCCGCCTGCACCGGCGGGGCTCCCGGCAGCCAGCGCCTCCCCCCGCTCCCCAGCCTGCGCCGCGCCGGCCCCCGGCTCTGCCTTGAGAGCGGCGGGGGTGAAAGCCAAAAAACCAGTCCCGGGGAGGGAGGGACAGCATCACCCCTCCCGGGGCGGGGAAGGGGGGGGGGGGGGGGGGCAGCTCCCCGCCGTGGGAGAGCGAGCGAGAGGGGAGTCTCCTCCCTCCCTCCCTCCCTCCCTCCCCGCTCCCTCCTCCCTCCGTCGCTCCCTGCCCGCCCGCAGCCGCAGCGCAGGGACGGGAGGGAGCGGCAGCAAGAGCCGCCCGGCCCGCCGAGGCAGGAGGGCGGGGGGGTGGCTGAGCCCGGGCCCCGCCGCCCCGGCCCCGGCCCCGGCCCCGGCCCCGGCCCCGGCCCCGGCCCCGGCCCCGGCCCCCCCCGTCGCTCCCCCGGCGCGGCCCGGCGCCGGGTGAGGCTGCGCTGCCTGTTGCGCCGCGGGCAGAGCAGGACCGAGCTGAGCCGAGACGAAGTTTTGCGGGGAAGGGCCCCGGTTCCGCGAGGTGAGTTGCGGGGCCGCGCTATAGGAGGGGCGGGGGGGGGGGGGGGGGGGGGGGCGGTACCGCTGGGAGGAAACTCGACGGGGACGGAGGGAGGGAGGGAGGGAGGGAGGCGAGCGGCGCTGCTGCTGCTGCTGCTGCTGCTGCTGCCGAGGGGCGACCGCCCTGACCGGCGGGAGATTCTCCTGTCCCTCGGCCGCGGCTGCGAGATCCCCGCGCCCCGTGAGTGCTGGACACACACGCGAGAGCGATGGGGTGGGGGGGTTCCGCCGAGGGAGGGCTGGGGGGGGGGGGGGGCATGAAGGGGCAGAGGCTGCGGGGAGGGGGGGCTGCCGACCCGGGGGGCGATTGGGATTCGAGAGGCGCGCCCCCCCCCCCCCCCCCCCCCCCCATTTTGTACCGGAGCAGCGGCAGAAAAGGGGGGAGGAAATAAAATAAATAAATAAATAAATACTGAAAGACAATTTTAAAATTTAAAAAAAAAAAAAAAGCGCCCCCCCCCCCCCCCCCCCCCCGCTCTGTCTGTGTTTGGGGAAGGCGCCTGGCCGCTGCGCTCCCCGGCCCGTGTGCGGGGCGGGTGCGGGGGGGGTCGCGCTGATCGGCATGCCGGGGGGGGGGGGGGGAGACACGCCGTGTGTGTTGCCGTGGGATTTTTCCGCTTTGAGACCTACCAGAACCAGTTGCTACGGAGCGGGCGGCGGCGGGGAGGAGAGGGCAGCTCCCTCTGAACGCGAGCAACAACTGGGGGGGGGGGGGGGGGGGGGGGCCTGCTGCGCCCAGGTGAGCCCCCCCCCCCCCGCTAAAAGGCACCGGACGGGACCGTAGCGGGTGGTGTTGGGGCTCCCCGGGAGGGAGGGAGGTGCAGCCCCCCCCGGCCCGGCGGGGGGGGGGGTCCCCGGTGCCCCCGAGCCCGCACGTTGGCGCGGGGGGAGCGCCGGGCTCTCCTCTCGCCCCGTCGGCGCGTCCAGGGTTTCCCCTCCCCACCGGTGTGGAAAAACCTCTCGGGTGTGCCAGCGGGAATTTCGCTTGCCCTCTTGGCTCCTGCCCTTCAAAAATGGGGAGATTTTAGGGGATCCGTTAGATGATCGCGAAGTGATTTAGGCTGCGGCTGATCGCCCAGTCTTCCCGAATGTCCCTAGACAGCAGAAATGGTGTGATTACGGTATGAAAACAGCCAAATAACTTGAAAAGCGTGAATAAGCCGACTGCTTAAAAGAGTCAGAATGAAAACCAGGCAAACAACGCTTAGTGCTCCTTTCAGAGAAGTGAGCCCAGAGGTATTTATGTATATATGAAAATGACAAAACAAGCTAATGCTTTTGAGATGATTGTAATTATTAAAAAAAAAAAAAAAATCAAAACAAAACAAAAAAAAACAGCCATGAGAAAATGTTACAGATTTGGCAAGGAAAGGAAAATGAGTACTTTTAGAGAAGAAAACTCTGACTAGGATAGCGTTTTCTGAATGTGGAAAAATAAGTGGCAGTAATTTCTTCTTGTGGTGATCTGTCTGATAATTTGTTCACTTAAATTGCAAGGTGTGCGTCACGCCCTACTAACAGTGGTAACTTGAAGGCTTTGATGTAGAGTACCACAGTGTTCATATGGCTTGCCTGTTGATATTATTCTTAGTAATTTAATTTAAAAGGACAGGCACGCAATGGGCTTCTGGTTGATTTAGAGGGAAAGAAAGTATTTAAGCTGCAGAGTGAATTAATCTGCAAAACCTTTGTTATGTTCAGAGTCTCAATTTTCTAGTTTGGTTTCTAAATAGTAAAACTGCTTGGAACCGTAACACCGGTTGCTCAGCCGATTCTGCAGCCCTTACTTGTGCAGGTTGCCTTGGGTATCCACGGGATCACTCCTACCTGTGAATTCGGAGGACTCAAGCGCGCAGGATCGGGCCCGTGGCCGGGGAGTTCCAGCACGGGGCGCTGCGTGGGGACGGACGGGCCCGTTGGTGCTAACGAGGGGCCTTTGGCTTCGGGGGGGGGGGGAGAGCGCGGGGTTAACTCCAGATCTTTTACGTTTCTTCAGCTACTGCTGGTTGGGTCACTGAGCCCTCACCTTGCCTTCCCCCAGGTCTGCTCGAAAATTTGTGCCGGCTTCAGTCCAACTCAGATGAGCTCCTGTGGGTCACTGTGGTTTTCCAGTGCATTAGGGTGAGCTGAAGCGGCTCGGTACCTTGGAGATCAGGGCCTGAGTGGAGGGGAAGGAGAACTGTATTTGCAACTATCGAGAATCAGTGTGTTTTGCCTCAAATGAGAGATTAATTGAAGAAGAAGTGTCATTTAATGGGCATATAAGTTTATGCTCTGGATTCAGTCCTGCGCTAATAAAGTCCGTGAGACTTTTGCCGCTGATAAACAGAATAGCAAGACTTAATTTAAGGATGCATTTGTGATTTGTCTCTTCCGTGAGCTTTATTGAGTCCTTATTACAAATCTTTTGAGAGACAGAAAACTCTTCCTGCTCACACTGAAGCTGTGTTAGAGTAACAAACGCATGATATGTCAGCTCAAGAAATAACCTCCAAGCAGTAGGACTGAAGTTTATAAAAACCAGCCTTACTCAGAAGTGTTAACTTGTGTGTCTAAACCCAGAGAAAAATGTATTGCTTTGTTACAAAATTACCTTTAGATGTTCAGTTAAATAAGAAGTTACTTCTGAATCTTGCTTTTAGGGATATTTTCTGTCACTTCACCGGGAATATTTATGAGACTAACGCGAGGGATATGTGGCTCACTGTCAGGAAGATTTTAAACTTTTTCACGAAATGAATAATTTAAGCAAGCAGGAATATATGTAGAAATCTTTGTTGTTACCGTTTCAGTTAATCAGAACATGGACTAAGGAAGGTGCTTTTTCTCAGAGTAGAATCTTGCATTTCCAAGGACTTACAGGATTTACATGTAACTGCTGTCCTTGTTGCCAGCTGCATGCATGGGCTTTGGGTCAGCCCTCACTTGGGAATGAAGATTAAATTAGTGTTCTGGGGCTAGGAAAAGAGTATTTATAATTTTGTGTAGTAAATTTAGAGAAAAATCTTATGGAGCTATGAAATTTAGAAACTTATAATAATGCTAAACAGAACCTTATTGTAAAATGATGGTATTCTGAGCAAGGAATAAATTGAGTTCATGGAATATGTAGCATTTACCTTGGCTTGTTTGGCCAAGCCTTTTTAAATATTGTTTTATTTACTAGAAGTAACCTCCGGAAAGTGAAGTTTTGGTAGAGCACTTCAGTGCTGGTATGAATCAAATGTCAGTATGTCTACAGAAACTACAAGCAATGAGGATACAGGAATTTCTCAGCAGATTCAAGAAATATTTTTAAACCGAGTACGGTCTGTAAATGCATGCATGAACAAGGTGTGCCTTCTACTCTTAAATCCAATGTGCTGTGGGTGAAGTAGCGTCAAATTCAGAGTTGTTTTTTTCTGGTGAATTTAAATCTCTGCTTCTAGTTTTCATCCAGCTCTTTTCATGAGGTAGTCCCTGTGCCTCCACCGTTCTGGTGCAGTGTGTTAGTCTGGATGTGTAACAGCCATGTGGTCGCATCCCAGGGAAAAGGCAGTGGGACGTGGTACTTGTTTTACTCCCTGTTTCGTCCGAGCTCGTGGCGCTGATAAACAGTAGCCAAGCCCACTGTGGAGTAGGATCTCGTTATTTCACAGTGATGAAAGGTGTCTGCTCCTGCTTCATGAAGATTTCTGTGGGTAATTGGTCTCTGGGCCGGTACTTGCCGCTGATGGCGTGCGTTGCTTAGCCCTCTAGACGAAGCAGCAGTTGTAGCTGACACTGGCTTGTTTTATACAAAGACTTAGTTTGCAGAGTAAACACAATGCTTGCTGCTGCTGAGCAAGAAAGTAACTTTTATTCCTCTCCCCCTGGATATTTAAATGCTCTACTGAGTACCTTCAGCAAGCAGATGTCTAAAAAAAATTGGCTTCTTCCCGCACTGACTTCAACCCTGGACATGGGGAGAGCCTTTTGCCATAAGGATCGGCACAGCTCCCCAGTTCTGCTTTCCATCAGCAAGGAAAAGGCAGTGGTAGCCGAATTAAAATGGGGTTTCTCTCTCTGGGAGGTAGGACCTTTTTGTAGGGATGAAGAAAAGAGAGAGGGAGAAATGGGAACAGATGGAGGTGGCCAGATGCCCTCAAAATAAAGTAAAAGAGAGCAAGGAGGGAGGTAGAGGCTGAGCTGGGCAGTTTGGCTTCCCGAAGGCCGGGGGGTCGCTGAGGTTGCCCCGTAGCCCTCCGGCTCGGCTCCCTGCGGTGCCGTGGCCTTGCCATGGGACTTCAGAAAAGAGATTTTGGTGGATTTCAGTGGGACTAGAAGCCTTGCGGAGGGGCTGAATTTGGCTTTTTGTGTCGCAGCTCCACAGACAGAACGGAGATCAAAGTGCCTCTCAAGTAACCAGGGCTAGTAAAAGGCTTTTTCAGAGATACATTCAACTGGATAATTGGAATGTTTACTTAAGTAGTTAGCACTGCAGATCTTGATGTACTTGATTAAGGTTTACCTCCGCTTTTTAGGGTCAGTTCAACTAGCTAGTGTGGGTTTTAAATGAATTGTGTTCCACGTTCATAAGAGTTTCATAAAGCTGCTAATTTACCCTTTGAGAAGAAGCAAACAAAGTTGATCTCTGCCTGTCAAATAGTACTATAAAGATATGATAACAAGAGGAGGTGAAAGGTGATAGAAGTGAGTGATAGCACATAAGTGGGATGCTACTCAGGCTTGGAAGCAGGAATGCAACTTAAGGAACAATAAATGAAAAGTCTGGTTATAAAGTGACAGTAAAAGGGGAGACAAACAGAATATTAAAAAAAAAAAAAAAGTTGGAAAGGGGAAGCAATGCATAAAGAAAGTAAAAGGTGGACAGGAAGGGATCAGAAGGGCAGGGAATGGATTTAAAATTTCCATGGAGTTTTCAGTTGGAAAATGTTATCGGTATAAATCTGTGTATTGCAGTACTTACATAACAACCTGTAT